GCATTTTATCAGATTCGTCTACTTAAACTCTAAACGCAAACAGTATTACTAACAGTATTTTTATTTAGAAATTTCGGCCACATATTTATATTATCCACGAAACTGTCAATAACAGTATAAGGATCTTCAATTCCTAAGAGTTCGAGTTTTTTTAACGTATTGTTCCTTTCCGCGGGTGCGGTTCTTTACAAACAGTGAACGCGTCTAGCGCTGACGAACAGCTGATTTTGTTTACGTCCGGTGTACACCACCGTGGCGGCGGACGTAGGTATCACGTGATTTAGGTCACGTGTTTGCAAGGACTCGATAGTGTTGAAACCTAATAAAAATAGAAAACGGACGCTTCGTTAAATCTATAGCCGACAGAAAATTAGCCTTTAATTAACGTTTTTAAATAAATTTGTGATTAACAGTCTGTCTAAAAACAAAAAAAAATTGTTCTCTACCTAATTACTATTTTACAGCTCTACACACGGTGCAGATTCTCTCCTGTAACCAAAGGGACAAAAAAAAAGAAAAAAAAAACAATAAAAAAAAAATATTCAGAAATGTAAACAAACTTGAGGTTTAATAGTATATAAATTTTGTATCCATTTTTAATTACTTAAACATTTTATAATAGAATAGAATCTCTTAGAAAAAATAATTGCACACCAAGTGAACACTAAATAAAATGCATGATAGTGCGAGATATTATTAGTACTTTATAAATTCACATGCGTTTTTGAGACATCGGAAATAGCGTAAATTAATACTTCCGGTCAACTAAAATTACTCAAATATTGATAGAAGGCAGAGAATTTTATCTTTTACTTATACGTGAAATTTTATTCGTCTACTTGAAATAGTACTCAAGTTATAGGCTTTGAAAAATTTAAAGTAGAAAAAGTTCCAGTTTCGGTTATCGGAAAACGCTGAAAAGTTTATACGGATCTACAGATTTGATATAATACATATATGAAATTTCATTAACCTAGCTGTAACGGTACTCAAGTTATCGTGTTTACAGATATACACACACACACACACACACACACATACACAGACATAGAGACACGATTTCAAAATTTTATTTTTCCGACTCAGGGATGTGTAAAACGTCGAGATTTGTAAAAATCTGGAATTTTTTTTTGCACCATTACAATACTTTCTCTATACTATATATACAAGTAAGAAAGTAAAAACAATTGGACATGATACCTAGAATATTAATTAAGACATGCGAACTAGGGGAAATAAATACTCTCTTAATGTAAATATGTGCATTTCTAAACATTTAATTGTAAATGTCAAAACAGATCATAATTACTTTAGTATGTAATATAGTAGCTTTACACTATTCGTTTTTATAAATATATGATTTTACAATCAGAATTAAATATATTGTCATAAAATATTGCAGCATAATGAAAGTTTTTGAAATCAGAGTTGGTATAAAATCAAGTTTTTCAATTTAATATACATCCTAAATCGAATAGGTGGAACCTTCTGAATAATAGCCTACATGTAACTAAATTATTCTTCTTGCAGTTAAGATCAATCAATTTTATATTAGCTGCTATTGTTTTGTGTTCTTTAAAGATAAATTTTTTAACATAATGATAATGTATGGGTTAGGTCATTGTATTGATCACACAACTCTTTATTTACAGAAATTTACATGTTTCAAAAGCTATGAACCTGGCGGCAAGGTACTTTGGTACATCATTACGCGTTTCCCCAAATGTACTTCACAGATCAGTTCGGGTGGGTTGAGGGGAGGGGGGGGGGGTTCAACTTCATTCACCACTGTCCGGTAACTTTAGTGGAATTATCCTGCCCGGCGTATACCTAGGTGTGACATTAATGTCGATCTACACAATTAAGGCCTGTCCGGTTTTAGGTGGTAAGGTGGGGACGGGGGTGAGGGAACCAACTCAGAGTGAACATAGCGTCAGTTTTTAGATGACTGTTCTAAACATGCATATATAATTATACAATTATACTGATTCAGAAATAGATTTAAATAAATAACATGGTTATTATGAACCCCCCTACACCCCCCCCCCTCCCACAATGCCATTGAACCACAATTTATTTATTAATACCGCACGCCAATTTAAAAAAAGGGAATGGAATATTCGAGATTATTCTTTGTTGGATATATTGGAAAAATTAATCAATTTCTACGTTAAAAATAAGGTTGTTTTCAAATATAGTTTTCCGTCTTGCACACATTATGGAAAGAAAGTTGAACAACAGTTGGCCTTTATTAATTTTTACTTTATGTTATATGGTGCAGAATGTGTAACTAAGACTGTGAAATTAGAATTAAAAATCTGGGCGTAGGCCCATTTTATATTCATACATTTTAACGTACGTTATATGAGATTCAGAAAACAAGCAATACATTGTAATAATATAATTGTTCTAGGTTTATAGTTGAGTTGTGTCCGAGAGCCGACTGCAAAACTGACAAACAAATGCAAATTGCTGTTTGGAAGAACAGCGGAAACATTCTAATTAGTTCTAGAAAAAACTACATATGGGGACAGGAGTTCAGGTTTAATTCCACTACAGTTAAGAACCGATTTGAGGTTAAGATAAAACTCATAATACATGACTCCAAGATTAAGGTAATTGTTTCATAACTCATTTTTAAATTAATACAGATTTTAAAATTATTCTCATTAGCGTTTTCAAACGATTACTGTTAGTTGAACTGGCTTAAGTCTAGTGATAATTAATTTTGTATTCACCAGATTTACGTAAACGACGATTTCCTTACAGACTTGAGTCTACGAGGTGTAAACAAAGAAACAATAAAATACGTATCAGTGCGAGAGGATATTTTTGTGGAATGGATACTATACAGTGTATGTATCTAGTGCAGTATAATCATACGGTTTAAAATTAAACTTTAATATTGAATTCGCTATTTAAAGTTAAAAAAATTAAAATTCGAAATTTAAAAATTCACACTTATGCAGTTGCCGAGAACGCAGCTTAGTTAGGTATAATCGTCGAATGTTATGTCGCTATTGTAGGATGCTCTTTAAAACAGAAGTAGGCGCCAATAGTGCTAACAGGGGAGACCGCGGTGCTGCAGTCACCCGATCGCCGAGTCGCTGGTGGACGCGCCTGATTTGATTTAGTTAGCGATTATAGTAGCCCATTGTACCCGGCTCCCGGTCAAAAACCTCCTGGACATAAACCCCTGGACAAAAACACCCGCGACATAACCCCCCCCCCCCCCCCCCGCCCCGCGACATAAACCCCCTGGATAATAACCCCGACTGAGGTTTATATAAGGAAATAATAACGATAATGAGAACCAAAAAACAAAATTAAATTAAATTAGTGTAATTTTTAACGACTAACGATTCTGGTACCGAGTCAAAAGTAGTATGTTTTTGTTTGGAAGTAAAGACAACGTTAGGTTTTTGGAGGTTAATCAGCACTGCTTTATGGGTGGTACATTCAAAACAGCTCCTGCATTGTTTCACAATTGTACACAGTCCATACATTGGTCAATGGGCGGACTGTTCCATGTGTTTATGCTTTACTTTAATACAAAACACAGGAAACATACACAGCGCTCTTAGAGCAACTAACGGTAATGAATACAAACCTGCAACCAATTTCTATTATGATTGGCTTTGAAACGATTGTGATAAAAAGTGTTGAAAGGGTATTTCCAGACTGTGAGATAAAAGGATGCTTTTTCCATCTTAGCCAAAACATATTCAGAAAAATACAGAACTCTGGTCTTCAACAGAAGACTATATGGCAAAATCAAACAACTCATTTGAAGTTGGCCATTATAGAGTATTTGCGAGGCATTGCTCAAAATCTCTCTTTTTAAAGTTATAATAAAACATTATTTTTCTAATGTTTGTTTTGTTTTTAATTATTAATTTTGGTTCTCATCAACTATGGTTTTTCGTTATTTAAACATCATTTTTCTTTGGGGGGGGGGGGGGGGGGGGGTTATCCAGTGGTTTATATTGCGGGGTTTTTTTTGTCCAGGGTTTTTTTTTGTCCAGGGGGATTATTACCGGACACCATTGTATCCATAGTGTATTGGATTCTTAAGTCGAACTTAGGGGCCGTTGTGTTAATGTTGGAGCTGGGGCGGCAAATCTAACAAAATTCAACTGTATTCCTTAACTTATTACTAATCATTATTTTAAGAATGGTAGTCCCATCCCAGTTTTTGTGTCAGAATGTTTTTATTGGTAAAGTGAAGCAGCCAAATTAATATTTTTTACATGGTTAATTCCTTGATTATTCAAAATTAAAAGAAAAAAATTCTATTCACCAATAATTTCATCCGTCATCAACATACAAAGATACCTCATATAACCTTTATAGTATATATCTATATTCTACTTAAAAATAGAAAAAATGATAATTGAAAAATAAAGAAAGAAATAAAATACTAAGTAAAAAAAAAGTCAGTCAATCTGGCACAAACCTTGAGCTAATATTAGATTTAATTATTCCTTTTGTTTTTGTTGCAGATAGCCTCACCTGTAAGTACACTACGGTTGACTGCGAATGAAATATTTGTTTTAATTAATACTGCTATTACATATATATATATATATATATATATATATATATATATATATATATATATATATAGGTTAGGGCCCGAAAATTCAAACACATTTCTGCAGGGGTGGGGGAGGGGGGGTGCTGTTTTTCTAGTCCCGTAACGGCAGAATCCTTTTTAAATTGTGATTATCGCGATGACTGACCGGAGTTTGGTTGTATTTTTATATATATATATATATATATATATATATATATAGGTTAGGGCCCTGAAAGCCAAAAACATTTCTGAAGGGGTGGAGGGTGCTGTTTTTCTAGTCCCGTCATGGCAGAATCCCTTTTAAATTGTGATTATGGCGATGACTGACCGGAGTTGGGTTGTATTTTTAAAATTCTGCAATGGCCTAATATATTCATTTGTTTCAAATTATAAGCTTTTAATTCTATCCCATTATAAGGGTCCCGTACTTCCTGTTAAAAGATGGCCGGTTGGAGAAAAGATAATGTTTAGAGGAACACCAACAAGGAACACTGTGTAAGTGTTATAATTAATTTGTATATTTAAATTAATGCACACTTTAATATTTACAGAAAGTAACAGTTTATTTTTGTTACTATCACTTTTTAAAAGAGAATAGGGGAAGCAGGCCATTAAGGGGCAAATTAAAAGGAATCCCTTCTCTTAAATATTATTAAATTAAGGCACATTAAAAAATGACATCTATATTACGAAATTAGTTTCTAACTAAATATTATAAAAACTAAAAAGCATAAGACTAAAACGAACAAGAAAAAGCTTTTCAGGTGTCAAACTTCCGTGTTTCGTATACCTATGACCGATATGAAGTTACACTTTTCCTAATTTTCCACGGGCATAAATGAGATCAATACGTTATTATTTATTATTTCAGGCCAGAAATATTGCAATGAAATATGTTTAAGTACTAAATTAGGCAATTTTAAAATTTAAAATTTAGTCTATTAAGGTATGTATATATATATATATATATATATATATATATATATATATATATAATATAGGGTAAAGGTGGGTAAGTAGTACCATTTTATGCGAATTTGTTTTTGTTAAGTAAATGACGTCTTAAAGTGGGCTTAAATCTCCATACAAACTTGCACATTCATTAAATCCACAAACCCCTTCTCTGTAAACCTGAATAGCTTTTTTCAGGTCTGCTTCAGTCCGTTTCGTATCACGTTTTCAAAACCAATAAATGCAAAAACGTTTTAATAATGTAAAGTAAGAAGTAACTTCCTTAACAGGATTTGTGAATCAAACTTGCAACCCATTGACCAGGTATACTATTAGTTAGCAGCTGTAAAATGTACACAGGTAGGTTAACTAGTTCCACCAGTACCCATTAGCCGCCCTAGCTTGGTACGACTGAGCCAACCTCCACTGTAAACAGACATTTGCTTTCGAGTTTTAACCGGCAAACAAAATCAAAATATAATGAAGCATAAATGATTTGTCGGCACGTTAGAACAGAAAAAAACTAGTTACACGTTTCTCTGCTTCATGGTACAGCTAGATAGACAGTCTCGATATTACATCGAAGAGTGACAAAACACATAAACTAACTTTGCGTTTCAACTGTACGGTCGTCTCCGCGATTTTTTTTTCTAAGAACACAGCTTGCATCATGTAAGATGTATTCATTGTGTTCCCGCGATTTTCAAGGTCAAGGAATATGGGAGAGGTACGAGATGCCACCTTTACCATATATAAATTATATATATATATATATATATATATATATATATATATATATATATATATATATATATATATATATATATATATATATATAGGAAAATTATAGCGGTCGGGCCTAGTGCTGGCTCTTCATATAGTTATCGTTGTCGTCGTTGTTGTCCGGTGTTGGTGCAAGTTAATTATACCACTTCAGTGATCAAAAGACGTGAAAAGTTAAACAAAAATAATTGGGTTATCTGAATCATTCAGTAAAAATATTTTTTTTATTGCTATAAGCTTACATGGCGGGCTAAATCAACATAAATACTGCTTTCTTTGGAAGCTCCGTACGAATGAGTAGACTGCGATCTTGAAATTAACATCTGTCAAACGATATCTACGGTGTGATCTTGTTCATTGTTTGACTTTTCTTGAAAGTAATTTCTTCTTGTATTATTTCCGTGTAGCAGTCATTTTCTCCCGTAGGGTCTGTCTCCACCACCAAGGGATGGTATTAAACATACACAAGTCGTGTGGGTTGGTTTTATGATCCTTTCATGTCTAGATGTACAATCCTCTTTTTTTTAGTTTTGTCAATCCTTTCATATATGTAATATACACATTTTATCAAATGTATACACGCAAGCTCCGGTGTGTTTTTTGTAGATATGTTTAGAATGTTATACTTAGGTTGAAGCTTAATTATTTCTGATTTAATTTAGGTTTACGGTCGACTTGGCATGTACTGGCGGAGGAAAATCTGATCTTGCAGCGCTCTTTAGACTTGTATTTAATGATGGTAACCACGTGAACACTGTAATCATAAATGACCGATTTAACGGTACCTATGGTAAGGCAGCAGCTATGAATGATTTCCCCTTTGAAATCAATGTTCCTTTCACGATGGTGTGGGTGCTACACACACCTCTCTTGCAGGTAAGTTTTGACATCGTGTGATTAATTATTAGTTTGTTTGATGTGATATCCAATTATGCAACTGAGATAAATTATGCTGCTTCAGATGACTAACATATACTCAAACTAAATTTGTGTGCTGGTAATTAAGATTTACGCTAATTATCTAAAAGTGGTACAAATTAACTAAGGAGTCTTATCGGCTTTTTTCTTTATACGACAGAGTCAACAATACTTAGAATCAACTACAGTTGCAGCCGGCGATATTTAAAATCGACAATATTTAGAATTGATGATTCTTATAATCGAAAATACTTAGACTCGGTGACATTAATTATTGACGATAGAGAGTAGCGATACTCATCATTCGAGAGGAAAAAAGAAATGAAACATGTTTCCAGAGTTTCTTCCAGGCAACTCTAGGGGGGGGGGGGGGTAGACGGGGTGTCTGCTACCCCCCCCCCCCCCCCCCCCCGAAGTAAGTCTACCGCCCCACCCCCAACGAAATGGAATTTATATAGAAAACATATACTTTACCAGTGTCCGCTAACCCCCCCCCCCCAAGAAAAGTTGTCCACCCCCCCACCCCTCCGAAAATATCAAGTGTCGCCCCGGAGAAAGAAGTCTGGAAGAAACGCTGCATTTTCCAACTTGGACAGTATTTCCGCCAAAAACATGTGTAGCTATAATATTTGTATCAACTAATTTTGGGAAATAAGATGTTGATATTTTCGATTAAAATAACTACTTTAACATTTTTTCAGATTACAGTTACTACAGCTGAGGGTTCTAGCAGGAAAGATTACTTCAAGACCAAACTTAGTTCATGCTATAACCGCATAGAGCTTTGGGGAACATTGACAATATCTCTGCTTCATATGACTTAAACATCTATTTCTTCCTATGAACAAATGAGTTTTCATAGGTGAAATGAAACTATTGCTGTTGCTTAATTTTTTAGTTTAAATTCATGAATAAAAAAAAACAGGTTCATGCATTAAGGTCATAACACCACAAACCAGTATGTTATTGACAATATCTCTGCTTTTTATGACTTAAACATCTATTTCTTCATGTGAACATGAGTTTGCATAAGGGAAATTAAACTAATGCTGTTGCTTCATTTTTTACTTTCTCGTATATACGAAGTATAGAGAAAGTATTGTAATCGTGCAAAAAAATAAACCGGGGGTGATCTCCCCTAAACTTTCTCGAATATTCTTATATAAAACAATAGGGGATGGGAACTCGGGCTATAGACATGATTTTTAATCCATTTTAAATACTTAAAGTTTTTAAAATAGAATAAAATCTCGTAGACAAAAGAATTGCACACCAAGTGAACGCCAAATTAAAAAAAGTGCATAATAGTGCGCAATATTATTAGTACTTTAAAAATTTACATTAGTTTTTTGAGAAATCGGAAGTAGCGTAAATTACTACTTCCATTCAACGGAAATTACTCAAAATTTAACAGAAGGTAGAGAATTAGATCGTATACTTACATGTGAAATTTCATTTATCTATCTGAAATAGTACTCAAATTATAGGCTTTTTAAAAATTCAAAGTAGAAAAAGTACCACTTCCGGTTGTTGGAAATCGCTTAAAAGTTAATACGGATCTACGATTTTGATAAAATACTTATATATGAAATTTTATAAACCTAGCTGTAACGGTACTCAAGTAATGGTGTTTACACACAGACACACAGACAGACACACAGACAGACACACAGACATACGGACAGAATTGCAAAGCCCAGTTTTTCAGACTGGATTACGCATAAAACCTCTTTATTTTGATAAATCTGGATTTATAATTTTTGCCCGATTAAAAAAAAGCCCTCTATACTTCGGATGTGATGAAGAACTGAGGTGTAATAAGGGGAAAATTGTTAAAATTTAAAATGATTTTTGTGCACGATTACAATACTTTCTCTATACTTCGTATATACGAGAAAGTAAAAAATCTCACTGATACGGAAAAACATAATTTTGCAATCTTGTCCGTATGTCTGTGTGTCCGTCTGTCTGTCTATGTGTGTGTGTGTGTCTGTGTGTAAACACGATTACTTGAGTACTGTTAAAGCTAGGTTGATGAAATTTCATATATAAGTATTTTATCAAAATCGTAGATCCGTATCAACTTTTGAGCGATTTCCGATAACCGGAAGTGGTACTTTTCCTACTTTGAATTTTTCAAAAGCCTATAACTTGAGTACTTTTTCAGATATAAAAAAAAAATTTCACATGTAAGTAAAAGATCTAATTGTCTACCTTCTGTTAAATTTTGAGTAATTTCCGTTGAATGGAAGTAGTAATTTACGCTACTTCCGATTTCTCAAAAAACTAATGTAAATTTGTAAAGTACTAATAATATTGCGCACTATTATGCACTTTTTAATTTGGCGTTCACTTGGTGTGCGATTCTTTTGTCTACGAGATTTTATTCTATTTTAAAAACTTTAAGTATTTAAAATGGATTAAAAATCATGTCTATAGCCCGAGTTTCCATACCCTGTTATTTTATATAAGAATATTGTGTATTTTGTCAATGAAAACAATTGTTGTGATTTTAATTGTTTAACTCTCCCTGGCCAATCCGGTTGTCTTTAAGGAGATGTTGAGGCGGGTTTTTTTTTTAAATTTTGAATTGATAAAATAATTTTAAACGGCTTTTACACGGCTTATATTCAATACAACAAAATGAAAATGAGTGTAATCGAGGGTTCCAAAACAACTTTTAAAAAATATAACTATAATTTTATCCCCTGCCATAGTTTTAAAAATATTTTTAAAAATTATTATGATTATATCGACTTTTCAAGCCAATTGTAACTGCTAGTTTTTAAACAGTTTTCTACTCTATGAAAATTATTATTTTTAAGTTGTTAATTAAACTAAAAATAAAAAAAGGAGATATTGATTTTAAACAAATCCCTCTAGATTTACTCTTGAAAGAGTAATAGTTTAAATGGGCTACTTACAAGATTTCTTCTTTTTGGTTGTGTTGTGTTGTGTTTATATTTTATATTGTTTTTTGTTTTGTGTGATAAATTGTTTTGTGTTGTCGGCCCATAGGGTCTTGTTCTTTGTTTTTCTACAGAGTAATGTTTGAATGTATTTTTCACCTTAGCGAAGCAATGTCAAACTGCTATTATATATATATTCAGTGCATTCAATGGCTTGTTATTATAAGGGTTTTATGTTGTTTTGTTTTCCAATTTATAGTCATTCACTATATAGGAAAGAGCAACACACACAAAAATTGTGTTAAACCAACCAGTTGCTTGTAATCTTTAAAAGACAGCCTTCTGTCCCTTAGTCTTAACAGGGAACCACTTATCATGTTTGAGCTTTGCTCATCACGAAACAATCGATGTGTGATTTTTCTGGCTTGAAAGTCGGCAGTCAAAACTGAAACAAAGAATCGGTGTTACACCACTACACAAAAGACTTTCAAGAAATATTCCGAATCAGCAAAAGATAACGGACAGCGTTAAAAAACATTTTATTTAAAACTTAATTGCAAGACATATAATTTTAATTGATGAGATTTAACCTATTATTCAGTTTTTATAATTGATTTGTTTCAAGCATGATATTGTGTTGACCATGACAAATCAAGGTTTTCCCATCATGAGCTTTACCTACTCGACCGCGCCAACCACCTTAAGTATTATTTCCGGCCATTTCGAGATAGAGAAGCAATAAGGATAGTTATTAGGTAGCTATTTATCATACAGTCTGAAGTGGTTCAATGGTCGACCGTTTTTTTTTCTGTATTCTTAATATGATGGAGAAATATGTTTAGATAGCCAGTTAAGGACAGAAAACAACTTTGTATTTTTTTGTTTGCTGGTTCTCTTTGCACCTCGGTTGTTACGGTTTGCCTTTTATCTATTCCATTAATAATTATCTCACCTTGTTATAATAGTTGAACCTATCTATTGAAGTATATATCGTTGCCAAAATAAATCAATTACGGTAAATTACATGTTGGGTTTTACAACGTTCATCTTGTAGTTTCTTGTAGTTAAAGATAATAACACATTGATTTATTGATGAAAAATACTAGCAAATTGTTTGTTTTACTACATTACACTAGACGTAGTAGATTATTAAAAAAAGAGGTCAATCGAACATAAGGCCGACATACACATAGAAAATGTGGATATATACAAACATCTCCCCATGTCTGAACAAGTTTATCCTGCTCTACCCCCAGTTCTAATGTCTACTCATACAATAAAACATAAATCTCACCATGTCTAAACTAGTTTATTACTCCACTCATGTCCACAACAGTCACCGACACTGAAAAAATCTGTTAATAACACGTGTTGTTGGCGTGGTTCTGATGACTGAATATAGTTATCTTTTGTTTAATTTCCTTCGGCCACCTTTGGTCTTCGTGTTAAATAAAAGTGAGTGCCATAACAGTTTGAAAAGCTGCTTTCTGGATTTTACTAGAGCACTAGGCAAGTTCTGCTGTATATTTTTCTCGTTTTATTTAAACTTTTATCCGTCCTTAAAGTGAAATTCAGAATTTTTAATACACAAGTTGCACATACTTTACCTAACAGTGGCAAAGGCTGACAGTTTTAAAAAATCCTGTTTAGTATAGAAGCATTAAAGATTTGTGTCTATGTTGCGTAATCAAAGTGGTAATTAAAATATAAAATTACTTAATAAATTTCCAGGCTAATTAATTAAAAACTCACTGTATGTTTATAGACGTCGGACCTCCATTGCCATGATGATGCTTCATCTTATGCTCTTTGTATTTCTGTCAAATATCCTTTCCTTGGGTTGTGTGGACACTTATCAGATCCAGACCTTCAACAACAGCACATTTCACCACACCAAACGGTCGTTTGCTGATGGTAAAACAAATGTAAGTGTACATCGATCTGACTTTGTTTTCTTTAGTTTATGACTTGGTTATTGTTTAAAGCATTTGGTCAAAACTTAATAGAGCTGAAACTTTTTCCACTTAAGGAGAAAAATGCAGCTCCAGACAAAAATATAAATCTAATCGGTTTAGGCCACATTCAACATTTTATAAAAGGAGTTCGCTTGGAGCCGAAATACGACAAAATGAAATTAAAAATTAATATCGATTAGGCAACGCAAAATAAAAACGAAAAGAATGACAAAAATAAATATATAAAAATAAATATAAATACACATTAAATTATACATTTTACATATTTTATCATACATGTTTAGATAGTTAATTTGATAAGATAAACAGTCTGTTAACAAAACTATCACACAAAATATCTATCATATTTTTATGATCACGTTTTGTTTTATAACACTACCAAAAATATTCTGAGCTTTGACGCAACAACAATTTGCGACGTACACAGTTGTCTTAAAAATTGTGTTGTGACTTCTAATCTGATCGTAATTTACACAGTACCCAATCCCTTACTCTGGGGAAATTCGATTTCCAATGTACGACGGGAAAGAGGTTATCATTGAAGGAGTGACAACGTCTTCAACGAACAGGTGACTGCATGGTGTTTTATTTAAGATGAAAAGTTCCAATTCCTACAGTTTAGGCAGCGTGTGTTAGATACGGTTAGATTTATACTAGCTTTATTGAACCAACGTTTTCTACGAAATGCCGTCCGTCTATTATTGTTATCATGTATAAAAATCGTGTTTTCGTCAATAAATTTTGCCTTTATAGCGACCATTTAAAAAATCTCTAAAGCCTGAAAGAATATATCAGATTAGTAATTGTTTAGGAATCTATCTATAATAATAGTTTCGCTGTCTGTCTATGTATCTATCTGACAAGAACGCTCTAGAGAAAACACAAGGAAAATAAAAACATGCATAGTAATTCGAAAAACGAAGTATGACGTCGACACATTTAGCACAGAGTAGAAAATAATCTCAAGCCGGATAGTGCACACATTAATATGACGTCATTGATTATCGAGTAAACATTCAATACAAAGGCAAT